TTAGCTGGAGAAGGGACAGACGATTTTTCGCTTCCACATATGTTACCCAGCTGCGCAAATTGAAAGTTCACGTCGACCGTACTCGTGGATCGAATGCGGAAATCTACTTCCACCATGACAACGCCCGACCTCACACTGCAAAGGCGACCCAGGCCGAGCTGGAGAAGTACGGATGGCTGATGGTCGCCCACCCTCCCTACAGCCCTGACCTCGCTCCTTCTGACTACTGGCTGTTCAGCCACCTGCAGCGCTATCTGGACGGAAAAAAGTTCGAAACAAAGGATCAGGTCAGAAAGGCACTCGACGACTTCTTCAAGTCCCAGCCCCGTCGTTCTGGAAGGAAGGAATCGACAAGCTGCCTGAGCGCTGGCGTCGAGTAGTGGATGGTGATGGTGCATACCTCTAATCTTCAGGTTGGTTCGCTATTGAGATATTTACGAAAAAAGTCGTGTATAAGAACTTATGCGACAACCTAATATGTCTGTAGGAATTTGAAGACGCGCGACGGTAAGCGGACCTGTACCGACTTGCCTCATATCAGGAAGAAAGGAAGAAAGAAGAAAGTCAGGCCCAGTTTTCGAAGGAAAAGCCGAGAATAACTTCCAGCAAGGACCTTTCTGACGAATGCTCATCCCCGTCAAACGGAAGATATGGAGAAGTGTCTGGTCATAAATGGCGAGAATTGGCTTGAAATGGCGTGAAGTTGTAAAAGGGGAAAAAGGGGTTAAGGATGATGTTCAAGCAGGCAGACAGGCCGAAAGGCATCGAATATTAAGTGAAATTGTCTCTTTTATTTAATTCCTGAACTTGGCTGCTCACTTATAGCAATCTTGGTCGAGGAAGTCTCTCCAGTTGTTGTATAGGCAGCCATAGTGGTAGAGTTTAACATCCTTCAGAAGTTCGGGGTCTGGATCCTGTTTGAGTGCGCTCAACAGAACGTTCCCACGAGAGGCAATGCTTCCATTGTCGTCAATTTTCAGCTGAACATTTACTGATATGAAGTTCTTGTAAGAACATTTGATAAGCTATGCATCACAAACCCAACAGTATGGGACCGCGATTTTAAAAGAGATGTCGGAAGTGATTGGCCGGTGGTTTCTTCTATTTCCTTTCTCCGGCATTAATTCCCAGGGCAACGCTTCATTACGGAAGTGGATGTCACACCACCGCATCAGAAAGTATCGGAAATTCACTGTGGTCTCCTGAGCCTATGGCGCAGCAGTGGGCAGACCTAGTTGCTCTTATTTTCTAGAAAGCGGAATCCAAGAAACGGTCAGCTTCTCTTGCAGATACGGAACCCAGTGCGCTTTGTCTGAATATAGTGGACTGCTTACCGCAATACCCCGCTCTCCCTCCCCTCTCCCTCGTAAACGACGTGGCTAAGCGTCTGCCCTCCTAGGTTTGAGTAAAAATCCAGCGCTAATATAGCACTGGTGTGCGGTCTAATACGTTAGGTCGTTTTGACGTTATGGAAAATTTCTCTGCTAAATGCGAATGCCACTCAACCTCCCACTATCCCGAGTAATCCAGATTTTGCCACCGGCGAGGAGATAGAGAAGGGGAGACACCTCCGATCAACTACCAGGAATAATTTTACAGAGCCGCGGCTCAAAGGCGAAGCACGCGATTGAACA